CAGACACTCCACTGAGTTCAGGGGGTCACCCCCTTGAAGTATCTCTTCAAAGTTGAAAAGATAAGAGGGAAGAAAGCCCACCACCCCCACCACAGCCCTTTCCCAGGCAAACCTGCTTCCTCTCCACACCTGGAATCTCAAAATCAGAAGTCCGGGGACTCGAGAAATGCACAGTCTCCTTTCATTACCGGAACTGTTCATCCAGCAGCGTCGGCTCCAAAGCACGGAGGCTTCGGTGATGGGCTGTGTGCTATCAGCAGACCCCCTTTTGATCCTCTTTTTAATAAAGTCTAAGGGGAAAAACGGTAATTTTTCATTTTAAATAGGGAAGGTGTGGTAGCGCGGGCTCCAGGGTTATTAATCGTCACCCTTGCCTCCTGTCATTCGTTTCTGGAGAAATCGTTTTATTTCAAGTCTTGAGATGGGCGGGGAGAAGGGAATAGATTTTTAAAAAATGAAAGGTCTGAGGACTGATTAAAGGCATTGCAAGGCATAGGGTGTTTTTTTTCCTTTCTTTTGACATTCTCTGATAAGGGACTGGGAGAAATAAAAGTCATTTGAGAGGGAGAAAATGATTTCCGAAAGTCTAGGCAAGTGTCTGACTTCATTGTCCCTTCCCATTGAAACCATATAAACAGGCAAATGCGTGGCTGTGGAGTCATCCAGATTTCAGAGCCAGCGTCACACATGCCTCAGCCCAGCAGCCGGGGAAGGGGTGGCACCCCCCCCCATTCCAGGGTTGCCAACTGGGGCTCGGAAGCTCCCTGTATATTTCAAAGTACTTGCTGTTTAAATCTCTAGACGGCTTGGAATATTTTTCCAAAGTTAAAGAACAAAACTGACAGGTCCTATGATTATGAGTTAAGCAGCCCTGATCCAAAAATCTTAAAAGCTCCAAATTCCAAAACAATTCCGGCGCTACCGCGAAGCACCAAGTGGAAAATTCCATGGCTGATCCCTTGTGGCCATCTACAGTGCAGACATGGACATGGGCACACTACAAAACTGTGTAAAATGATTCTCTGGGGTCGCGGAGATAAGTCAGGGGTAGAGTGCTTCCCCACAAACACCAGGCCCTGCCCTCACTCGCTCACTTTTAGTTGCCGTGAACACAGCCCACCTGGGGAGGAAAGGGTTTGTTTGGGCCACCTGTCCCCATCACGGTCCATCACTGAAGGAAGTCAGGACAAGAACTCAAGGCAGGAGCCTGGAGGCAGGTGACCTGGAATTTGCTGTGTAGACCAAGCTGACCTTGAACTTGTGGTCTTCCTGCCTCAGCCTCTGGCCACCAAACTTGTCTCCTTTCCTCTTGATTCAGTAGGGATGGCCTTATTCAGGGTGGACTCAGCTCACTTCCAGCCGCAGGGACTTTATTTGCAAATAGGGTGTTGAGGTAAAGACGCCAACCGGTGGCATTGCTGGGCCCTTTGGCTCACAGCTCTGTCCTGAGGTTGAAGCGAGGCCATGTTGTCACTCCCCGAGGGACTGTGTCTTCCCATCTGCTCTGTATTGTGCTGTCCACACAGCAAGCGAGGTGGAAAGGTCAGTCCATGTGTGGATCTTTATATTGGATCAATGCAGCTTTTATCTGAGACTCCGACTCGCGTTCATTACTGTGGGTTGCCTTCCAGACTGGCTCGGTTCTTTTCAACAGACTTCTGGAAAATTCGAAAACTAGCCAGCACAACAACAAACAAGCCCTTCTTGCTCCCGAATCTCTTTCTCCACTGCTCCCTCAGCCTGGGGTACTGTTCGTCACTGTTAGCATGGTGACCCTTCTTGTTCTAACCTCCTCGGGGGCATTGTAATCGGACTGTTTCCGTTGGGACCATCAGCTCCTCAACAATGACATGGAGACTCATTGTTAATTATGAAAGCTCGGCTGATAGCTTAGATTTCCTTCCTTCCTTCCCTCCCCTCCCTTCTCTCTTCTCCCACCCTCCCTCCCTCCCTCCCTCCCTCCCTCCCTCCCTCCCTCCCTCCCTCCCTCCCTCCCTCCCTCCCTTCCTTCCTAATACCTGAAGATATTTTTCTTTTTTCCTTTTTTTTAAGAAAAAAGATTTATTATGTATACAGTGTTATGCCTCCAGGCCAGAAAAGGGCACCAGATCTCATTACAGATGGTTGTGAGCCACCATGTGGGTGCTGGGAATTGACCCCATGTCCTCTGGAAGAGTAGCCAGTGCTCTTAACCTCTGAGCCATCTCTCCAGCCCCTTAGGCTTGTTTCTAACTAGTTCTTATAACTTAAATTAACCCATACCTTTTAATCTACGTTGTTTTACGTGGCTTAGCCACCTTTAATCTGAATTGCCCATGCTGCCTGCTCTGCATCTCCTGGCGTCTCCACACGTCTGCTTCCCAGCATTCCCTGTGCCTGGAAATCCTGCCTAACTATTGGCCGTTCAGCTTTTTCATTAAACAATCGGAGTGACACATCTTTACATGGTGTACAAGAAGATTATTCCCCATTCACACCCTGGGGAAGCCTCCTCTGTTCCCTTCTCTCCTCTGACTCACTCCTTCCTTCCTTCCTTCCTTCCTTCCTTCCTTCCTTCCTTCCTTCCTTCCTTCCTTCCTTCCTTCCATCCCCCTTCCTGTTTCTGTGGTGCTGGGATCAAACCCTGGGCCTCAAACATCCTAGGCAAGAGCACTACACCTTCTCTCGTCCCAAACCCTCCAGTTTCTTAACTGAGCTGTTTGCTTTGGATTTGGTGAACTGGGACAGGGACTGGTGTGTCACTGGGGCTAACTGAAGATTTTTCCTTGGGGGTACTTGTGGATCCACGTCTAGTTGTAAGAAAAGATCACAGGGGGTGCCTGGAAGACTTCACTTGGCTTCTGTTAACGGTCATCTCTCACTAGATGACAGAATCACAACCAGAATACAGTCCAGTGATCTCGCCCAGATACGCCCAGCATTTTGTGCACACGTGACGCGTGTTTGCGGGTGCCTGTGAGAGTGCACTGGGTTCTGTACAATGTCCCACGGGTGGGCTCACATGTCATACATCTTTTGTGTTGCTGTATTATAGCCATATTCACTTCCTCCCATTCCCTCACCCCCCCTGCCCCCAACATCTGCCAACTGTGTCTAAAGAGTTGTTCTCAATGAGGCTGTGGAGACAAGGCAGAGAGTGAGCCTTTGACATCACTTGCATTCCCTGGAGTCCCGCTGGAGCTCTGCGCGTGGATACTCGGCTCCTTCATGCAACAGTGTTGCATCCACACTTTGTGTGGACCCTCTGTTGAGCCGCTCACCATCACTGAGCACCACACACTCTGTCTCCCTCCCTGTAGCCCGGTGAAAGCCTCCAGGAACTCATCTGCTAGTCCATCAAGTCTGTGTCTGTGTCGGAGTCAGGTATTAAGCTGCTCCATAGGCGTGGTAGTTTGAATGTAATCACAGGGAGTGGCGACATTAGGAGGTGTGACTTGGTTGAAGTAGGTGTGGCCTGGCTGGAGAAAGTACGTCACTGTGGGGGCGGGCTCAGAGGTCTTCTGTGCTCAAGCTATACCTAGTTCTGTTAGTGTTGCCTCATAAGATGTGGAACTCTCAGCTACCTCTCCAGCACCATGTCTGCCTGCTCTCCGCCATGTCCCACCATGATGATAATGGGCAAAACCTTTGAAACTGGAAGCCACCCAGTTAAATGTTTTCCTTTTCTGAAAGTTGCTGTGGTCATGGTGTCTCTTCACAGCAACAGAAGACACCTGACTAAGACAATAGGCAAGCATGATGTGGAACGTGATGCAAGCATTACCCTTGGCAATCTCTTAAAGCGCCCTGATACGGTCGGATGTTGGGACTCACAAAAGGCGTGGCCTCGCTGCCTTGCTTTGCAAACTCTGCAGGGCGTGGGCTTTGGAGCCACAAAGCAGTGGCAGGCAAGGCTGCTAAGTGGGGAGAAAGCAGGGAGGCAAACAGGGAGATTCCACTTTTGTTTGTGAGGGCCAAGTGGTGTGACCAGATGTTATAAATGTGCCTGCATTGTAGCGTACACGTGTACTAATGTGCCTGTGGTATAATGAGCACACGGTACTGTGCATATGACATAGTGAGCATGAGTGAGTTCTAATGTGCATCTGATGGAACATGCCTGTGCTGGAAAGTGCTTATGGGCAGTGCATGTATGGAGTAAGGTGACAGGATGTGGCATGTGTATTACTTTAATGTGGTATGGTCTGACGTGTATATGATGTGGAGCGTGATGCTGCATGTTGTGTGTGAGGTCCCTATGATGATACATGCATACGATATGAGGTGTGTGCATACGACGTGAGGGATGTGTATGTGTGATGCATGGCATACACAGCATGAAGTATGTATGAACACACAATGTGAACTACATGCAAGATGATTAACACGGTGTGAGGTATATCAAGGTGATATATACATGGCATGAGGTATGCAGGAAATGCATGCAACCTGAGGTTGCAGCATGTGTGTCATTTACTTAATGCGCAGGTTCCATAGCATGCACATGGTGTAGGATGCCCATTGTTGGAAGGTGCATTTGATGTAACAGGGACACCATATCCATGAGGGGACCTGTGTGTGCTGCAAGGCACATGTAACGGGACCTGTACACCACATAGGGTGCAGATGATGAGTGCCGCATACTGCATTGTGTGTATACAGTGTAACCTGCGTGTGCGGTCAGGTGTGTGCTGTGGCATGGCGTGTGAGAGGACGTGCAGACTGTGTAAGGTGCACATGATACACCGTGCTGAGTGTGACCTGCTGTGATGTCAGATGTACGGGGTGCGACACACATGCGGGGAAGGCGAGGATGGCGATCTCTGCCCATTTGAGCTGCCTCCTGACGTCTGGTTTACTCGCATCTCTCTGTGTGATGTGAGGACTCATCTTCTGCGATGTGAAATATGCTGATGTGGCACATGCGTGGTCAAGAGTGGGTGGTGGATTTCTGCCCACAGCAAGCGCACCCCTACCCCCCTTCCTTACCGGCGTTTCTCTGTTCCTTTGCTCCTACTTAGGAGGGAATCTCTCCAAACAAGACTGGATCATCCAGTGGCCCACCACGGAGCCAGGGCAGGACAGCAACCCCGTGTGCCCCCCGGAGTCCAGTCCGTGGATCCGCACCCACCTCTCCCAGAGCCCCAGGGTCCAGTCCAAATGTGTCCAGCCCTTGTGTCACACCAGCCCCACGCCCGGGGCCCCTGTGTACACCCACGTGGACAGACTCACCGTGGATGCCTACCAGAGCTTGTGTCCGCCGCCGCCCCTGGAGTCAGGCCACCGCTCCCTGCCCCCATCACCCCGGCAGCGGCACGCGGTCCGCACCCCACCTCGCACCCCAAATATCGTCACCACCGTGACCCCTCCTGGCACACCACCCATGAGGAGAAAAAACAAGCTGAAGCCTCCGGGGACGCCGCCCCCCTCCTCTCGGAAACTTATCCATCTGATCCCTGGCTTCACGGCACTGCACAGGAGCAAATCCCATGAGTTCCAGCTCGGGAACCGTGTAGACGAGGCCAACACACCCAAGTGAGTAGCGTCAGTGGGTGCTCTGGGGTGGCCAGACCCCAGGAGCTGCTCGTCTGGGGACGCCGGAAGCAAACAGTCTGTGTCTGTGGGTCTAAGGGAAGCTGGCTTTGCACTGTGTATTCTGAGAAAGTAGGTTGGCTGGAATTTTCTGGAGCTGGCAATCAGTCTTTACATGATGGCCTCTAACATTTCTGAGTGTTGGTAGCGCATATCACCGCTTGGGGCTAAATTTAAGTTGTGTCACGTTTTCGTAGCTAAGACTCACTGGGACAGAGCCAACCCAACCGTTTACTGTTGTCTGTGAGTACTTTGGGGGGGGGCAATGGCAGGATTGGGTATGGCTCGCCGAGTCAGAAATACTAATCCTTTGGGTGGAGGCAGGAGAAGTTTGCTGGCCCCTGTGGGGCTGGCCCTAGAAATAGGTAAAAGTTACACGGTAGTCTTGAAGTATATTAAAATGAACTAAAAAAAATAAGCTATATGACCTGATCAAAAATAATTATCATTCCAACATAGCATCTCTGTAAAATGTGGTTGTTAAGATATTCTTTGTACTTTATGAGGCCTTTCTTTGACATCGAGGCTCCGTTTGGATGAGGGTGGGAGGGAACCGAGGGGAGTGGGCAGAAAGTCCCTGGTGGATATGGGAGCTGGACACATGACAGAGAGGACACCAAAGAATTAGGCAGGGAGCGATGTCACTCATGACCTCTAAAAGGGCAGAGACCACCTGAGTGTCCCTCAGCAGGTGTGTGAGGGAGTGAGGCTGCCCCTCCCCATATAGGGGAATAGTAATCAGCAGCCAGGGGGAGGCCCCTCTGACTTCTGCTGCGACACAATGGAGTTGAGTCTGTAGACAGGAAATGGAATGGTGGTCTGCTGGAGTTAGCAAGAGGGCAATGGGAGCCATTATTTAACGGGTACAGAATTTGGGATGAGAAAATTCTCCGGTGATGGTGGTGGTGTCATTTACACATCCTGTGACGCTATTTCACACCTTTGAGGCTACATTAAAAACTACTTCAAGCCGGGCGGTGGTGGCTCACGCCTTTAATTCTAGCACTTGGGAGGCAGAGGCAGGCCGATCTTTGTGAGCTTGAGTGCCAGGACAGGCTCCAAAGCTACACAGAGAAACCCTGTCTGGAAAAACCAAAAGACAACCAACCAAACAAAAATCCCCCAAACCAAAACTGCTTCAAATAGTTAATTTTGATGTTAAGTTCACTCTGCCACAAACAAGAGAGTCTGGGTGCTGTTGTCCGAGAGTTCACGAACTGTGGAGGGCCAGACAGCAAACAGCGTAAACGCTTTTGGCTGCGCCAGCTATGTGTGTTGTCGTTGTCCAACCACCAAAACAGCTTGTCCGCGGCAGGTAAGCAAATGTGCGTGGCCATGCTCCAATAAAACTTCATCTATAAAAGCAGCTTCCAGCTGCCCTTGGCTATAGTTCATCTCCCTTCTGAGGTGCTGTGGAGGGGAGGGTGAGATTGGATGAAGGCTGTTCCAGCAGTTGGGATCCTACCCTGGAGACAACATCTCTCCGTCCCTCAGATGTTGAAGCAAATAAAAGAGGATTTTCTGATAAGAATTAGATTTGATGGTCATAGTTTCATGAGATCCACAGAGACTGGGGCCTGGAGACCTGAGGTGAGGTGGTGGGAGAGACTCCCAGGAAGGCTGTTGGTGAAATTGCCAAGAAGGAAGGTGGCAAGAGGCCTGGGGTCTGCCTCTCACTGTCCCTGTGTGAACCTTGAAGTGACTTCCACTCACCAGCCCTCAGAGTTTCTCCACCTATGGCGGTTTTGAAGAAATATCTTTTAGATTTTGAAATAAAAATAAAATAACAGCATTTTCTCCCCCCAACTCTCTGACGCACCCCTCCTCCCCTTGCTCTGTCTTAAGTTCATGGCACACACACACACACACACACACACAAATATAGCCTGCAGAGTCCATACAGTGTTACCCGTATGCATGAGTTTTCAGAGGTGAGCGTCTGCCATTGGGTAACCTATTGGTGTGCTCTTCCTTGGGGAAGGCTATTTCTTCTGCTCTCAGCACTCCTCAGTTATCTGTAGGTCTTTGTCTAGGAGTAGGGACCCCAGGAGACTTATGACATTAAACAAAAGGATTTATTTAACTTATGTATATATGAGTGCTCTTTCTGCATGTATGCCAGAAGAGGGCATTGGATCCCATTATAGATAGTTGTGAGCTGCCATGTGGGTGTTGGGAATTGAACTCAGAACCTCTGGAAGAGCAAGCAGCCAGTGCTCTTAACCACTGAGCCATCTTTCCAGGCCCAGCCTATGGCATTTTATCTGCATGTGAGAGGCTATCCTTTGTGTTTTCGAGGCTAGCTTGACTTTGTCTCGACACACACACCAAGCCACCCCTTCCTCAAGGACTTAGCCACCTTCAGTGGTGCTGGGATTCCACACACAGCAGAATCTAGCAGGGCTAAGCTTTGCCCATGGTGATCTTCTGGGTCAGTGAGATCGGTACTTCTTTAAGGAAACAGATCCCTGCTCACATCCAGGGACCCCAAGAGTTACCTCAGGAAAGCATGAAGAAAGGGATTGTGGTCACTGAGTTCTGACAATGAGACAGGTTGGATAACAGCAGCCTACACTTAGCAAGTTCCAAGATGGTCTTGACTTCCACCAGGAAGTAGCCTTGGGATCCTGGCTTTGACCCTGGGGAGGCTCAGCTCTCCTGTTGGTTGACCAAAGAGCTTGGAATATGTCCATGCTTTTAAGTCTGAGGTTATGAGCCATTAGTAGATGATGATACCAATTTAATGGGCTGTGACCAGCATTGGAAAGAAGAAATTGATGGACTTAGAGGAGAATATATTGGGAAATGTGGTGTGGTGAAAGAATCAGGGTTGCTTTTGTGGGATTGTTTCACATCCAGGAATACATACATATATACAAATGAACACACACACACATACACACATAGACAAGTGAATGCACACACATATACTCACATATACAAATGAACGCACGCACACATACTCACATATACAAATGAATGCACACACATATACTCACATATACAAATGAATGCACACACATATACTCACATATACAAATGAATGCACGCACATATACTCACATATACAAATGAATGCACACATATACACACACATATACAAATGAACACACACACATATATAGACACATACACACACATATATACCCACATACACAAATGTACACCTATACAGTACATCTATACACATATGCACAAACACATGTACACATATATGCACACATACATACACACAAATACATATATATGAAGCACAACTATACTTTTTCTGTTTTGTTTTCCCACTGAGAGCTCTTAATATGCAGGACGGCTTTGATTCTAGACTGATCCCGACAGGAAGTAGGTGAGAGGGCATACATCTTCCCTCTGCGACTGACTCTGCCTTTCATCCCCACTGGGCATGGTCTCCATGGGAACTTGGCAGCCTCTCACCTACCTTTATTCTTTATTTCTTTTCATTGGTGGTGGGGCAGAGTAATGGAGGTCACGGGTCTTTCTGAAGAGAAGGTAGACTTCCAAAACTGCCGACTCCTGTGACTTTTCAAGTATGCCCCTTGGGAGGCTTCAGATCAGATCAAAGCCTGTTTGGGTCTTTCAACCTTGGCATGTGGCGCTCAGGTAGTGTGTTTCTGGTGGTCTGGGTGGGTCTAAGTCCTGCCTCCTGGAAGCCTCTCTCTGGTCGTTTCAGGACAAACAGGGTCAGAAGCAAGGAAGCAGGTTGGGGTGGGACTCCACCGGTACAACCTTCCTAACGTGCAGGAAGCCCTGGCTGGCTCGAGCTGTGTAAGCCGGGTGTAGTGACACACGCCCGTCACCCCAGCCTCAGGAGGCAGGCAGAGGAGCAGGCGTTCAGTACAAGCCGTCCTTGGCTACATAGTGAGCTTGAGGCCAGCATGGAGCACAGGAGATCTTGTAAAAAACCAAGACAGGAAAACAGCGAACAAAAGAGGGCTCTTTAGTGAGCTGGAGCCTCCCTGTGTGGTGGGCTGGGGCTCGTCAGGGGTGTCAGCTGGCCTTTGTCATACTTCTCTGTCTGCATTCTCAGGAGAACACTGCCTCCTCCTCCTCCTCCTACCCCCTTCTCCTCCTCCCCCCTCCCTTTACCTTGTTGCCATTACCAAAGACACATGAAGTTATGAAAAGGAGGCTCTGTTCAACGAAAGGAAGAAACTTCAAAAGTCCAGGAAGTATTTAAACGAGGACAGGGCATGGAAGATGTCCTGTGGCCTTTCCTTAAAAATTTACACTAATTAATTAGTGTGTGTGTGTGTGTGTGTGTGCACTGTGCCTATTCCAAGACTGTGTATGGATGTACACACACCACAGCATATGGAGGTTAGGAGACAGCTTTCTTTTGGGAATTGGTCTTTCCTTCCACCACACCCATCCTGGGAATCACACACAGACATGGGCATGCACACACGTACTCACACACACACACCTCTTCACACACATATTCACACACTTGCACACTTGCACATGGGCACACACATACACACAGAGACACGTGCACACATACGCATACACATGCACTCTCACTCACACATGGACACACATGCATACATTACATACATACACACACACATGTACACTCACACAAACACATGAACACACACAGGAATTCTATTATGACTTTTTGTTTTCAAAACCCTTTTTAAGATAATTTCCAACTATAGTTTTAATTAGAGAGGTTATTCCTAGCTACAACCTTATTTGGAAGCTATAGCTGTATAAAACACAAGCAATGAAAGAATACCCCCCCACCCCCACCCCTGGTCATAGGAAATGGACCTGCGCTCTCCCCCACTAATGGGACCCACTGTACATGTCTTGCATGAATATGAATAGTCCATGATCTCAAAGTTTACTCTCCCCTCTCTCTCTCTCTCTCTCTGGTATATGTATGTGACGCATGTGTGCTACGTGTGCACGTGTGTGTGTGT